GCGTTCCTGCCTGTTGAGTAAATTTTAAGAAGCTTCAGGGAGGAGACAGCATTTGATTTTAATCTTGATGAATAGGTGGGATTGTAACAAACTCGTGAGCAAAGATTACAGGAAGGTTATAGGGCAATCCAGGTGGAAATAAGCAAGTAACTGTATGAGCAAAGACACTGAGGAAAATAAGCAAGGGCCGTAACCAGAGAAGAGCTAGCACATCATTTTGAATGGAGAAGGAGAGATGCAACTAGAAGGGCATGCTGGTGTCCAAGTGAGGCCTTAGAAACCAGTCTAAAATGTAATGGAGAACCATGGAAGAACCATCAGGGGAAATAGGAAAATCAGAGCCACAGTTTGGACAGATGAGTCAGGCATGTAGGCTGGAGTGAAGAAGGAAACCCTGGGTGTCTCAATCAGTTAAGTGTCTGACTTCGGCTCAGGTCATGATCTCATGGTCCGGAAGTTCAAGACCTGCTTCGGGCTCTGTGCTGACAGCTCAGAGCCTAGAGCCTGCTTCGGATTCTGTGTCTCCTTCTCTCTCGCTCCTCCCCGACTCTCTCTCTCTCTCTCTCTCTCAAAAATAAACATTAAAAAAAAATTTTTTTTTAAAAAGAAGGAAACTATGAACACCATGATGGAAGAGGAGAAAGGAGGCTTTGCCCACTGTCTGTGCTACAGATAATAAAGGCCTATGCATAAGGGGACGAATCCAGAAATAAGACCAGCACACCCTAGGCGTAAAATGTGGCTGAAAGGGAAAGGGTCACTAATGACTCAGGGGTTTCATGCCTATGACTGAAGAGTGTTCTGTGATTACAGTGTGTGATCATCTCCCATATATCAAATGACTTTGCTTTGTGACTCAGGAAATCACAGACTCAGTACTTTGTGGCTGGAAGGGATCAGAAAGATTGTGGTAAGAGGCAGCTGAGAACCTGCCAAGTTAAATATAATTGCAAAGGCCCTCAGCTGATTAGTAGCAAGGCTCAAGCAAGGAAGCCCAGGCCTCCCCATTTCCCATCAAACCAACTGCTGGTTCCCTGCTAATCACAAAGCCCTTTTAGGAGCAATCTGCGTCAGGTAAGTAGCATAATTTGTCACTGGGCAAAGGCAAGAATGGGGCCGTTGCTCGGCAAATGAACTGGAACAAGTTCAGGACTAATCTGGATCCTGCAAATTATTTTGTGAGATGGCAGTCTCCAACATTTTTGCGAAAGGGGACTGCCAAAGGTGTGTGCACAGTACAGGTAATGTTTGTACAATATAGAGTAGAATTGCCTTCAGAATTTCAATATTACACTGGGTTTTCTATTATCTCCAGAGCCTCCCAGTAGTTTGATTTCAAAGGTTTGAACCCTCTTTCAACACTGGTTTTTAAGTTGAGAGGGGGTAAAAAGGTACCACCAAAAGCCACGTAGACATTTCCAAAGCAAAATCCTCCCTGTTAATCACAGTAGAATGACTATAGCCAGCTCTTTGGCCATTTCTTCCACCCAGTTTGAGTTTGCTAATCATATCAAACAGGGGCTGAAAGCCGTGGATTCTGGAAGCTATTTCTATGTCCAGGAGGCCTGCACATCTCCATTCTTCTGATAAAAGCACCTTTTTTCTTTGTGGGAACTCTATTCCCATCCTTATAGCCTCAGGGAATGGATTGGCTGCAAAATGTCCAAATGTTGAAATACGTGGCTATTTCTTGTGGCTTTCATTTAAATTCCATGACAGGGGTGGGAATGCAAGCTGGTGCAGTCACTCTGGAAAACACTATGGAGGTTCCTCAAAAAACTAAAAACAGAACTACCCTACGACCCAGCAATTGCACTACTAGGTATTTATCCAAGGGATACAGGTATGCTGTTTCGAAGGGACACATGCACCCCAATGTTTATAGCAGTGCTATCAACAATAGCCAAAGTATGGAAAGAGCCCAAATGTCCAACGATGGATGAATGGATAAAGAAGATGTGGTATGTGTGTGTATATACACACACACACACACACACACACACACACACACACACACACAGTGGAGTATTACTCGGCAATCAAAAAGAATGAAATCTTGCCATTTGCAACTACGTGGATGGAACTGGAGGGTGTTAAGCAAAGTGAAATTAGTCAGTCAGAGAAAGACAAAAATCATATGACTTCACTCATATGAGGACTTTAAGAGAGAAAACAGATGAACATAAGGGAAGGGAAACAAAAATAACATAAAAACAGGGAGGGGGACAAAGCATAAGAGATTCATAAATATGGAGAACAAACTGAGGGTTGCTAGAGGGGTTGTGGGAGGGGGGATGGGCTAAATGGGTAAGGGGCATTAAGGAATCTACTCTTGAAATCATTGTTGCACTATACACTAATTTGGATGTAAATTAAAAAAAATAAAATAAAAAAATAATTCCAAGACAGGGAGCTTAGCCCATCTACACACAGAAGTGTAACAACACACATCTTTGTAAAGAAAGACCCTCACTAATTATGCTAAGTGAGATAAGTCAGACATAGAAAGACAAATATTATACGATCATATTTATATGTGAAATCTAAAAAGGGAGAACTCATAGAAGTAGAGAGTAGAATGGTAGTTGCCAGGGTCAGGGGGGTGGGGAGAAATGGGGTGATGTTGGCCAGAGTACAAACTTTCAGTTATAAAATGAATAAGTACTAGGGATCTAATGTACAAATGGCAACTATAATTAACAATACTGTATTAAATACTTGAAAGCTGCCGAGAGAGTAGATCTTAAATGTTCACACATAACACAAATATACATGGTAATCATGTGAGCTGATGGAGGTGTTGTTAACTAACCTCATTGTGGTAATCATTTTGCAATATAGATCAAGTCACCACCTTAAATTCAATGTTATATGTAAATTATATCTCAAGAGAGTAGAGGGGGGTGGGGCACAAAGACCCTCACTGCCTGGCAACCACAATCCAATGGTCTAGTAATGCGCCTTGCCCAGTAGAAAATCCATGTCCTCTGCTCTTTTTGAAGTTGGTGTCAGTAGAGATTAAAAAGATGGGAAATAAGATTAGAAGACAAGCAGACAAATGAAGGAAGTCTAATTCTCCAGGTCCCTTCCCATCATTTCCTGCTAAGCACCCTCTACTGACAAGGTAACAAATCCCCCATTGTGAAGTGCCCCGAGCTGGAGTCCTCCTGGAAGCAGAGTTCTGCAGGCACTTCCTTACCACCCCAGCCTATTGTTTTATGCTGCTCTGAGGTAACAGACAGGATGCAAGGGGTTAAACTGATACTCCAAGCTAAGAGCAAAATTCCTCAGGGTGTTGCTAGGACTCATAAACTGCAAAGAAAAAAGGTCCAGATACAAAGGTCATAAACTTGACAGGATTTCTGGTATTAAGCAACAAACTAATGGAATTCCTAGGAATCAAAATCCACTGGCTGGCTGCCTGTTGGTTTAAAGAAATGTACTGCCAGGGAAATCCCAAGTCTGGCAACCAAGGAGCTGTGATTGCTCAAGCCCTGAGGCAGTTCTCCCACCTGGACAACTGCCCGTGGGAGGAAGAAGGTTTAAGCTACACAGCACCCAGCTGCTACATCTCTTGTGTCTGTACAGCTCTGGAGGAAAGGGACAAGGGTACTCACTCTCCCATCGGGCAGACCCAGGAAAAGACTGAGGCAGCCCATCTAACCGACCAGGCGGCTCACTCTGCTGCCAGGGCAGGGGATGCCAGTTTTTCCCATCCAGCAGGATGTGGTCGCTGTTATGGGTGCCCTGACCACTGCACAGCCTTTTATCTTTTCCTCCTTTCTAAATGAAAGTGCTTATTGCGCTTATTCAGTTTCCCCTTTCACATTATAAACTGCGGTTTGAGGATGCTTACATTGGGCATTTAGTCATAGATTGCTAACAGATCGTGAGAGGTCCCCCTGGATTTCATCAAGAGGGATGGACCATCCTCAGGAATCCTGGTCTTGGAGCTGGATGCAGTAACAGACCCACACACAGTTGTCGTCCAATAGAGTTCTACTTGTGGTTGTATAGAGGATAATTCTTCCATCGTGGAGGGGGTTTTTCTTAAAAGTATGCATATAAGTGTGTGCGCATGCGAAGCAGCTAAATGGCTCAAAGCAGTGGACTGTTTTGCTCTTTGTATTGGTCTGTCAACATGTTTCTGTGTGCCTCTTTTCCTGATGGGGATCGTGTCCACCTCTCAGTGCAATCCGAGTGTCGCTGTCCATGTCAATCACACTGATCTGCCCCCAACCAGCCACATGAATAAGCCCAAAACCCAAGGTAGGCTGTTCATAGTACATAGTACTCTAGGAGGTGGTACCAGTCATCCCACGGACAGGCACTTAATCTAGGAGAAAGGGTTCTTCCCCTGAATTGAAAAACTTTCTGTTCCCACTGGAGTTGCTAAACTGGGCAGCTGGTGCCCATCCCTCTCCATCGCATGGCTTACTGTAGAAGAAAATGAAGCCAACCCATCCTTAGAAACAGAAAGCAGAGGGGTGCCTGGGTGGCTCAGTCAGTTAAGCGTCCAACTTTGGCTCAGGTCATGATCTCACAGTTCACGAGTTCGAGCCCCGCGTGGAACTCTGTGCTGACAGCTCAGAGCCTGAAGCCTACTTTAGATTCTATGTCTCCTTCTCTCTCTGCCCCTTCCTTGCTTGTGCTCTGTCTCTCAAAAATGAATAAATGTTAAAAAAAAAAAAGAAAGAAAGAAAGAAAGAAAGAAAGAAAGAAAGAAAGAAAGAAAAGAAACAGCAGAGACAGAGGCAGAGTGTGCCACTCCTGGTGTCAAGTCCCAAGTGTCAGTTTCTGGAGTCCTGGTGCCCTTGTGGGTTTGGGCCCACAAGCTCCCCACCCCCATCCTTTTCAGCTATGGCTTTTTGCTTAAACTAGTATGAGATGGGTTTCTGTCACCTTTAACAATTTAAAAAGAAATCTCATTAACATAACTCGATGCTGCAGGCTGGAGGGGAGAAATAAGGACAGGATGCTTAAGCAGAAAATGGTTTTACCTTTCACGTGAGCCCAAACTGCACAGGAGCATCTTCTCACCTATAAAGGAAAACACAACAACACGTTTAACTAGGCAGCACATGACATCAGTTTAAATAATACATTTTAGCCAAGAAAATTTAATGTTCTACTTCTCTTAATTTGGATGAAAATATCTTTAAGGCCTCTTCTAGCTCTAACATAGTATACCTTAGCCATGTGACTACTAAGTATTCGAGGGACTGGCATAGGTAGCAGGGACAGAAGTGACCCTGGGGATCAATTCTATAGCTTCTCAAAAGATCTCACAAAGTCCACACTATGGGTAAAGGACAGAAATGGCAATGAGTTTCATTCCCCTGGCCAGCTCTGAGCAACTGGCATTGACTGCCTGTGAACTCTGTTGAGAAAGATTCCGAGGTCACATCCAGTTCAGCAAGATAGTGATGCATGTGATAGGCTAGGCTATGAGAAGCCTTGGCATATAATAATACTTCACCTCTCTAGAGAATACTTACCCGGCTGCCTCAGTTACCCAAACAGTAGCCAAGGGCCAGAAAGAGAACAAAATAACAACAACAACAATAGTAATAACATATGAAAGCTCATCCATGGTAGAGGAGACCCACAAACTCATTGGAATGAAATACCTTCTCTTCTCCCCCAGTTATTATGTGCATATTTGTCTGTTAGGAATGGCTGGGATTACTCTGCAAAACATTCCCCAGAGGAAACTAAATAGCAGGGGTTAGAGAAGGATCCCTCTAAGTTCAAAAGGAAATTCTCTTTCAAGTGACAACCTTGGGCAATCTGGTTTTCTTAAAAATTGAAAAAATATATTTACACTGACAAATTCTGGGGAAAGCTCAAAATGGCCATAAGCTTTTGAATGTGACTAATTCTGCCTTGATGCCAAGTGCATCTAGTGGAAAATAATATCCAATAATAACCAGTGAAAGGGATCTAACCTTAATAACCAGTAAGGCAGGTACTTGGGAATGGAGTATATTAAAGGAGAGAAATTGGTGGGGCCAGGTGAAGAAGGGAGCTCATTAAAACAGAGTGTCATGACCAGATTTACACTTTACAAAACTCATTCTGGAAGTTATATGGATCAAAGAGACAGAATAAGAGACAGGAAGATGAGTTAGAAAATTTGATGTTCAGGCAAGAGATGTCAAAGGCTAAACAGTGTTAATGAGGAAGGAGAGAAAAGGATGATTTTACACAGCATTACGGTGATAGAATAGATAGGATCTGATGATGCACTAGACAAGAAGATAAGGAGGCAGGAGGCAAGAATTATTCCTCCATTTCTATCTTAGCAACTGGGTGCATGGTGGTGCTAGTTACTGGGACAGATAGACAGAGAACTGGGAGAACTGGAAAACACTTCCTGGTTTCAAATTTTACTCCAAAGCTATAGTAATCAAAACTGTGTGGTGCTGGCATAAAGACAGACACATAGACCAATACAGAATAGAGAGCCCAAAAAGAAGCTCTTGCATACATATCAAATAATTTTCAACAAGGGCGGCCAAGAACATTCAATGGGTAAAGGAAATATTTTTGACAAATGGTGCCAAAGAAGATATACAGATCTTTTTAACAATTGGATTTAGCAATGATTTCTTGGATGTGACACCAAAGGCATGGGCAACAAAAGAAAAAATAGACAAACTTGACTTCATCAAAATTAAGATCTTTTGAGGATGTGGAGAAAAAAGCACACTCATGCACTGTTAGCAGGATGCAAACTGGCGTGGCCACTGTGGAAAACTGTACGGAGGGCCCTCAAAAAATTAAAAATAGAACTACCACATGATCCAGTAATGCCACTATTGGGTATTTACCCAAAGCATATGAAAACTGAATTGAAAAAAATACATGCACCCCTATGTTTATTGCAGCACTATATACAATAAGCAAGATATGGAAGCAATTCAAGTGTCCATCAATAGATGAATGGATAAAGGGGTGTGTGTGTGTGTGTGTGTGTGTGTGTGTGTGTGGTGCTCAGCCATAAAAAAGAATGACAACTTGCCATTTGCAACAATATAGAGGGATCTAGAGAGTATAATGCTAAGTGAAATGAGGCAGAGAAGAGACAAAGAGGAAAAAAACTTCTAAATACAGAGAACAAACTGGTTGATGCCCAAGGGTTGGTGGGTGGGTGAAATAAATGGGTGAATAAATGAAATAAATAAATGAAATACTGAGTTCATTTATCATGATGAGCACTGAATAATGCACTGAATTGTTGAATCACTATATTGTACACTTGAAATGTAACACTGTGTATTAATTATACTGGAATAAAAAAAAGAAGCTTATAACATTAAGAACTTTTGTGCATCAAAGGGCACTTACGACAGAGTAAAAAGGCCATCCATGGAATGGTAGAAAATATTTGCACATTGCAAATCTCATAAAGGATTAATATCCAGAATATATAGAGAACTCCTAAAACCCAACAACAAAGAAATAACCTTTTTCAAAAATGGGTAAAGGGAGGCATATGGGTGACGCAGTTGGTTGAGCATCCAAGTTTGGCTCAGGTCATGATCTCATGGTTCAGTTTGTGGGTTTGAACCCTGAGTTGGGCTCTCTGCTGTCAGCACAGAGCCCACTTTTGATCCTCTGTCCCCCCTCTCTCTCTGCCCCTCTCCTGCTCACACACGTGTGTGCATGTGTGCCCTCTCAAAAAGTAAACATTAAAAAAAATGGGCAAATGACTTGAATAACCATTTCCCCAAAGAAGATATAAAAGTTGTCAAAAGCATTTTGAAAAGATGCTCAACATCGCTAATCATTAGAAAAACAGAAGCCCAAACCACAATGAGACACCACCCCACATCCATTAGGAGGGCCATTATCAAAACAGAAAACAGCAGTTCTTGGGGAGGATGTAGAGAAAATGGAATAATTGTGTACTGTCGGTGAGAATGTAATATGGTGCCACTGCTGTGTGGCAGTTCTTCAAAAAAATACAAAGATAATTACCATATGACCCAATGATTCCAACTCTGGGTCAATGCCGAAAAAATGGAGAGCAAGGACTCAAAGGAGATATTTGTACAGCATGTTCATAGCAGCCTTATTCAAAATAGCTCAAAGATGGAAGCAACCCAAGCATCTATCCACAGATGAATGGCTAAAATGTGGTGCATACATACAGTAGAATGTTAAAAAGGGAGGATGGGGTGCCTGGGTGGCTCAGTCGGTTGAGAGTCCGACTTCAGCTCAGGTCATGATTCCACCGTGGTGAGATCTGGTTCCCACTGGGCATGGAGCCTGCTTGAGATTCTCTCTCCCTCTGCCCTCTTCCCCACTCATGCTCATGCATGTGCACTCTCTCAATTAAAAAAAAAAAATTGGGGCACAGTCAGTTAAGCATCCGACTTCAGCTCAGGTCATGATCTCACAGTTTGTGGGTTCGAGCCCCACATCAGACTCTGTGTTGACAGCTCATAGCTTGGAGCCTTCTTCAGATTCTGTGTCTCCCTCTCTCTCTGCCCCTCCCCTGCTCACACTTTGTCTCTCTCTCTCAAAACTAAACCTTAAAATATTTTTTCTAATTAAAAAAATAGAGTGTGTCTTGATCGTAAGTATGTGATGAACCTTATAGTCCAGGTGGCTCAGATGCATTAGTCAAGAGATATTTCTATTGAGGTGCCTGGGCAGCTCAGTTGGTTGAACAGACAGCTTCAGCTCAGGGCATAATCTCACTGTTAGTGGGTTTGAGCCCCACATTGGGCTTTGCACTGACAGCAACGAGCCTGCTATGGATTCTCTCTTTCTCTCTCTCTCTCTGCACCCTTCCTCCACTCACACTTTCTCTCTCAAAATTAAACATTAAAAACCTTTTTAAAAAGGAGATGTTTCTAATAATATTAATACAATGTTTTTCTAATTTCCATCACCAATCTATGTGAGTTTATCCCACTCTTCGAGTTCTCCTGGGACAACCCATCACAATGGCTCTTCCAGGAGAACTTCTACCCCGACCCACTGATCCAGCTCCTGCTTTCTGCCTATCCAACTCACTAGATTTATTCATTATACAATGACTACATAGTTCTAGGTCTCATGAAAGAACCACCACTGGAATAACATAGTCTTTCTAAGGATGAGGAGAGGTGGGTATGGCCGAGGAAGCAATGGAAGGAGAAAATAGGGCAGTGCTGACGTTAATCTGCCTCTCCTTCCTGCTTCCAAGACAGAGTGAGGGGAGGCGGCAGCTTGGCAGGAGTACAAGGAAGTGACAGGGAAATCTAGATGTTCCTTTCTAACTAAGGCTTCAGCAGTGCAGTAGGATGAGGGCATTCCTGCAGCTTAAGAGGAAGAACCAAAACTAGGTCAGTCCAAGCATAAATCCAGCCAGGTCCTACAGGAAGTTCAGAGCATCAACCTCCTTAAAGGTTTCACCTGCCCGTCATTTATAAAGGCAAAGTAGTCAACACATTTTTATGGTTATTACATGCAGTGTCCATCTCCAATACCAGGAAAACAAATGTCCAAACATTTAACTTTCACATGAAAAAGAAAACAGAGAAGTCACAAGAGTTTTTAAAGAAGTATATACCTTATTCCATTCACTTGTGATTCGTAATATAATGCAGTAATCATTCCCTTTTCTCAAAGGTGCATTATAGTATTTCCCATAGTACAGCCTGTCCCCAATAGATATCTCCATGGCATCATCTGGGACATCTTTGGCCAGTAGTTCCGCAGCCACATATCCACTGGCATTAGAGGTGTTGCTAAAGAATGAGGTAGCCCCTTCAGAATCACAAAAAAACGTGCTTTGGAGGGCCAGGGGAAGCACCAACACCTGGTAGGAACTGGAAATAAAAAGAAAATGTCTATCAGACCCTTGCTTCATTCATTTATTTATTCATATTTATTGAGCACCTGCTATGAGAGAAACACTCCTCTAGGCACTAGAGGCACATACAACACTGCACAAGAAAAAGTCCGTGCCCACAGCGGATCGACAGTCTGATGGCTCCAACAGGTAGGGCACTTCAGTTTGAACCTGTACTGCTAACGCCACATGACATGGGGTGAGGGATCTCAAGTTCTCGCTGAGGATGGACGCCAAGTACATCCTCTAGAGCTGGGAGAAGTTGTTACAAGTATGGCCGCCCTGAGTGTGCATGCCATAAAGCCGATCTAATCAATGCTCTCCACGTGGGCAAATAAAGCCCAGCTGGGCCAAGGGTTCAGTAGTCACATGGAGGCTGGCCGCCTACAAGAGTTAATGGGCTAAGTCTGCAAAAAGGCTCTAATCACATGGCAACCTGAAACGGAACTCATGTGATCGGCATTCCCTCCGGTTCACAGACTGATACCAAAGTTCATGTGAAATAAATGAGAAGGAAGGAGTGCAAAGTCACCATGAGTTAGTCCAGCCTGACAATATCCTGAAATAGACTGAAAGGGACAATGTCATATGTGCATTGTGGAACTGTTCCCTAAGTGTGGACAAAGAGGCACACCAGCAATCTACTCTCCTTTTGTGTGTGTTTATTATGGTTTATCCCACCAAATTCAAAACCTGTCGGTGAAAGGAGGTGTCAGCATAAAAACGCACTGAGAATGAATCACGACTTCTTTTTTGTTCCCATCTCTTCAGTCCTTATCTCCTGCCTCTAGTATAGCACATGTCTGAACACCTGCTTTCCCGATCAGGCTTAAGAGCAGGGATTTAAATGATTGACACTTATATCCTTGCAAATCCTTACACAGTTCTTTGGCTGTGATTGACTCCCCACTAACATTTCTTGAGTTGAAATTTCAGTAAAGAGGAAAAATATGCATCAGTACCGAATATGATTGGGGTCATTTCCAAACCATTAGGCCACATGATCTATTTTACCAATAAATATACACTACCTGCTCCACATTCCTAAACGCCCTACCTCTTCCTTCCTAAAAGTCCATGGGTCACTACGTTAAGAAAAGGGAGCCCCCCACCATAGTAGGTGTTGGACTTGGAAAATCTCCACCCCAAAAACCCTAGGTGTCCCAGAGTCCTGATTTCCACAAAGTCTGGGCTCACTTTCCAGCAAAGGGCTTTCTTTCTCCAAAAGGTACAAAGTAAAGCCTGCAGGGCAGTGAGCTGTCATCACCACCACTGTAAACATTTACTAAGAATCCACTCCCTACAAGGGAACACTTGTAACAACACAGTTTCCTGGAGACCTGAAGATATTCCTACGAATCATGGCTGCAGGTAAGAAAGTAAATAGTGCGGCAGCTCCATGCTGCCCACAAGCTCCTCTTCAAATCCACCTTGTCTTTCCATGTAGATAGTGGTGTTCAAGTGCAAGTTCAAGGCATACCTTTGGTTCTGGACATTGCCCATTAGAGGCACCAGTCATGGGGCATAAAGCAGTCTTCCCCAGTTAGCATGATCATAATCAGCTGAGTTGCTTGATAATTATACAAATTTCCAGCCCCTATCCCAGACCTACTGAACCAAAATCTCCAAGAGCCAAGTGCGAGAATTTGCACTGCTGATAAAGCACCCCTAGGTGATTTCTAGAAGTTGGCAAGTGTGGGAGACACTAGCATTAAGAGAACCCGGGAACAGGCTGTATCATCTGTCCAAGATCACCAAGCTAAGGAGGCAGCCATGGTCCCAGAGCCCAGCTCCACCAAGTGCCCCAAGCCACTACCCTACCCCCAATGATGCACAAAGCAGACTCAGGCCTGTCTCACACACTGGCAAAGCTGCTGCCCCAGCTCAAACCAGGTACTCAGGGAGAGGAAATCACCCCACTTGCCTTCTGGTAATTAACCCTGATGACGTTAGGGAAGCAGTTGTGGCTGTTTGGAACATGACTGTTCTGGAAAGACTTCTCCCCTCTTTCTCACCGTCACCCCCCCTCCCCCCTTGAATGACTCACAGATCTCCACTTCCTGTTTTGGAGGCACTGGAGAGCACATTAGCCACAAAGATAGACTGTCATTTGGCTTTTCTTTTTGCCTTACGTAACTATTTGGCCTACATATCACATTTACTCTTGCAAGTTCTCTCAGACAGTGATATCATAACTTCTGTTCTCCTTATAGCAACAGAATTGCAGTGCCTTCCAGTAACTTGTCAGAAACAGAACAATGTGGGCAATAGCCATCCCAGGAAAGACCTTTAAGAATTTGCTGCACTTAAACTAATGGAAAGACAGGAAAAGCCTAAGTTTCATTATATATGGACACACAGATTGGGACACCTGGGTGGCTCAGTCAGTTAAGCAACCAACTCTTGATCTTGGTTCAGGTCATGATCTCACAGTTTGTGGGTTTGAGCCCTACATCAGGCTCTGCGCTGGCTGTGTAGAGCCTGCTTGGGATTCTCTGTCTCCCTCTCTCTCTGCCCCTCTCCCAGTCACACTCACTCTCTCTCTCAAAATAAATTAATAAACATTTTTTAAAAATAAAGATAAATGGGGGCGCCTGGGTGGCTCAGTCGGTTAAGCGTCCGACTTCAGCTCAGGTCATGATCTCATGGTTCGTGGGTTCAAGCCCCGCATCGGGCTCTGTGCTGACAGTTCGGAGCCTGGAGCCTGTTTCGGATTCTGTGTCTCCCTCTCTCTCTGCCCCTCCCCCACTCACGCTCTGTCTGTCTCTGTCTCAAAAATAAATAAACATTAAAAAAAATTTTTTTAATAAAAAAAATAAAGATAAATGGATACACAAATAATAGATCCAGACTTTCTTTTAACTTTATAATATCTCACATTTATTTTCACCTTGATTGTATTGAAGGGTCATTAGACTAACAGGTCAAGACTGACATAAGACAATGAAGGTTAGGTCAAGGATGGCAAGGTTATTGCCACGTCCTTGCCTTATTCCTGTGAGAGAGTTGCTTATCTCTCCAGGGAAACCTCTATCTTCCTTTCTTAAAAAAAAAAAAAAGGGAATAATTCTACTTTCTTAATCCAACCATGACCCTCTAAATAAAATGCCTAATGGAAGACAATGTAGTTCTCCAACTGAGGTGGATTAATTCCATCCTAATGCAATCTGGAATCACAGAAGCAGTTATTAACTACCCAGTGCCTTGCCCTTAACTCAATATGTGGTTGAATTAAGAGAGTTATCCAAATGACCCTTTCAGAAGCCACTACCCATACCCAAAGATCATCCTTAAATAAAGAAAAACATACTCTGTCTTTGGTAAATGAAATGATGCTCTTGATCCATCATCACGAAGAGATGTATGTGAAGATATGAGTGCAAAGGATCACACCTGATACGTCACACTCATCCAATGCTTGTCCACTGACCAAAGGAATGGATTTAATTATTGAGCTAAGCTGCCCAAATGCTTGTTTCTGGCTCCTTAGAAGTCTCTCTATTCATTTGGAAGGGCCCTGGTTGGAGTTAAAGACCCAGTCTGTGCCCAAGGAATCAAAAATAAAAGGCCCCGGGGCACCTGCATGGCCGACTCTTGGTTTAAGCTCAGGACATGATCAGTTCGTGAGTTCAAGCCCCACATCTGGCTCCATACTGACAATATGGAGATTCTCTCTTTCCCTCTTTCTCACTCTCTGCCCCTCCCATGCACTCACTCTCTCTCTCAAAATAAAACAAACTTAAAAAAAAAAAAGTTTAAAACAATAAATGAATAAGAGGCCCTGCCTATACTGCCCCAATAATTTGAGTGCAGCACCTAAAGAGAGATCTCCTCAATTAAACCAAAGTTTCCAAAACTCTATGAGGATCCCTGGACAACCATGGAGAAGGGGGTACTGCTCACCTGATCGGTCCATTTTTCTCCTTGGCTTTCCTCAGTCTCAGATGTGGTAGAGGCTTTCCATGCACTGTGACAAAGTCTACTTCTGGAAGGGGAGGCTCTAAAAACAAGTCGAAAAGAGGAAAAGGGTGTGATCAGAACAAATGGAAGCATGACCAAAGTGGTCTTAATGGGGGCCATCAAAAGGAAAGTTCAAATGTAAGGACTGATGAGCATTTTCTGACATATGCTATAACACGGATGAATCTTGAAAACATGACACTAAATGAAATAAGCCAGACTTAGAAAGACATTGTATGATCCCTCCTACATGCAATATCTAGAACAGACAAATTCATAGAAGCAGAAGTAGATTGGAAGTTGCTAAGGACTGAGGGGTGGGTAGGCAAGGGGGAGTTAATTGTGTAATGATCAACAGAATTTCTGTCTGGGGTGATGAAAAGATTGTAGAAATAGATAGTGGTGATGATTTACAATATCATGAATGTACTTAATTCTGTGCCAGAAAATAGTTACAATGGTACATTTTATGTTATATATTTTACCACAATAAAGTTTAAAAAAAAAATAAGCAATTCCCCAGTGCTGACAGGGTGGATACAGTGGGCCTTACAGTTAACTTGGTGGACAGGTTCCAGATATGCTGGGGAAAACCAGCATATCAGACTTCTAGATCCTTCCCAATCACAGAACATTCTGTCCTTCTTTTGTTCTCTCCAGCAACCAGGTTTCCCAAATAGACTTTCCACTGGGAGGGGACTATGTTGGCTGACACCAGTGTTCTAGTATCTAACTGATAGCTACATTCACAGTATGAAGGCAGCGGCCGCCATTGTGCCTTGTGGGTAACACAGCTGAGATGCACTGGGCACTAACTAAATGTACTAGCTGTTTTCTGCACAGGCCTCATCTCATATGATCTTCTCAACACTGCTATCAAGTGGATGAGATTTATAGAGGGAGAAAGGAAGAAAGACAAAGAATAAAATATGAATGCCCCCCCTCCCAACCCTGGCCTAGAACTCTGTTACAGTGAAAGTGAGGAGTAGGAGGCCAAAATAAACACTCAAGACTCTATTTACCCAATCAGAAAATAGACTTGGGGTAGAAAATTCCAATCCAAATTATAATAAAAACTTAGACCTTCCTAGATAGATTTTAAAGCACTATCATGAGGGGCACCTGGATGGTTCAGTCAGTTAAGCGTCCGACTTTGGCTCAGGTCATGATCTCACAGTTCACGAGTTCAAGACATTGGGTTCTGCGCTGACATCTTGAAGCCTGGAGCCTGCTTCAGATTCTGTGTCTCCCTCTCTCTCTGCCCCTCCCCTGCTTGCACTCTGTCTCTCTCTCTTTCTCTTAAAAATAAACTTAAAAAAATAAAATATGATAGTTGCCAGAGGGAAGGGGATTTGGGGGGTAGACAAAATAAGAGAAAGGGATTAAGAGGTACAATATTCTAGTTATAAAATAAATAAGACATGGGAATGTAATGTACAGCATAAGGAATACAGTCAATAATATTGTAGCAACTCTGTATGGTGACAGATGGTGACTGGATTTATTGTGGTGACCATTTCATAATGTATATAAATATCAAATTATTATGTTGTATACCTGAAACTAATATAACTTGTATGCCAATCATTCCCCAATTGAAAAAAGCTCTAACAGGGTGCCTGGGTGGCTTGATCGGTTAAGCGTCCGACTTCGGCTCAGGTCATGATCTCACAGTCCGTGAGGTCGAGCCCCATGTCGGGCTCTGTGCTGACAGCTCAGAGCCTGGAGACTGTTTCAGATTCTGTGTCTCCCTCTCTCTCTGCCCCTCCCCTGTTCATGCTCTGTCTCTCTCTGTCTCAAAAATAAATAAACGTTTAAAAAAAAAATTTAAAAAAAAAAGCTCTAACAAATATGTCATTTATACATCATCAATCAACACCTTTATTAGCTACCTTTATACATCACATACCATGGGAGGCTGGAAGAAAAAGCCATGGAAGACACAGTTTCTGCTCTCCAGGAGTTCAGACTCTAATAGTGGAGATGGTTTCAGAAACAGGCAGTGCTCAGAACCATGAGAAAGTTATACACAGGGTGTTGTAGAAGGTGCAGAGGAAGGACACCTGAACAAGGGCAGGGGGCGCCGAGACCACAGAATGCAGAAATACATGTATACAGGGGCAGGAGGTGGGAGAGAGGGCAGAGACAGAACTGCAGCCCCACCAGCGTAGCTGAAAGGTTGAGCCCCGGTCTGGTAGGCAACAAAGTGGGAGGTGTGGGTAGAGGTCAGATCTGAGGTCCTGGCAATAGAATGAAGTCATTTACAGATTTCTTAGCAGATGTGTATTTTAGAAAGACCATTTAGGGGCAGCTGAGTGCCTCAGATGGTTAAGCATCCAACTCCTGACTTCACCTCAGGTCATGATCTCAGAGTTGTGAGATCAAGCCCCGAGTCAGGCTCTGAGCTGAAGGTGGAGCCTACTTGGGATTCTCTCTCTCCCTCTGCCCCTCCCCTGCTCATGGTCTGTCTCTCCCCCAAAATAAATAAATAAATAAATAAATAAATAAATAAATAAATAAATAAATAAATATTAAAAAAAAAAAAAAGAAATATTAGGGCACCTGGGTAGCTCAGTCAGTTAAACATCTGACTCTTGGTTTCAACTCTGGTCATATCTCATGGGTTTCCTGAGTTCAAGCCCTCGTGTTGGGCTCCACACTGACAGTGCAGAGCCTGCTTGGGATTCTCTGTCTCCCTCTCTCTCTTCCCCTCCCCCACTTGTGCTGTCTCTATCTCTCTCAAAGCAAGTAAATGTTAAAAAAAAAAAAAAAAAAAAAAAAGAAATACAATGTAGACAGCTGGTTGAAGGAGGAATTGAAAAAGAACCAAAGTACCAGTTGTCCAAAACCTTGTTAAGATGTGCCTGAGGTCTGAAGCAAGTGACAGCACTGAGAATGGAGAAGAGGGGGCAGGTGGAAGAGACACTCAGGGAAAGAGAAAACAGAACGTGGTTGGTGGAAGATAAGGAAGAGGGAAGAATCTGGGCTTTGGTTTTGACAACTGAGTCAGCAGTGATGTCATGCAAGGTCTGGAAGAGAAGTTCAGAAGCAGCTCACTGACATGCTTGTGGAATTGTCCAGCCGGCAGTTAGAATGCAGGTCCAGACAGGAGCAAACTGTGGTGGTGCTTCACAGTCAGCCGTCGGTAGCTCCCCGGGGTGATGGGGTAAATGCACCTCAGCACCGACCACTAGGATCCCCAGGCATCTGATACCAAGTGGAAGAGTGAGAGCCCCAGTAACTTTTATTAAACAGTGCTAAATCTAGAATTCCTTCCAAAGTCACCTAGATATGGCCACATAAATTACATTTCCATAAGCCTGTGGAATTGCTAGGGACCCTGGAAGGTGACCTGGAACAGCCCCTGCTTACACAGTCAGGGTCTCACAAAAGGCCTTGGAGGTCTACGCTGTTTCCAAGAGGTGTGTGTTCCAAAGAGATTCCGAAACTCACGCCCCTGAGGAAGACGACCACCAGGTTCCCGCAGCCGCAATGGGGAGAGGAGGCTGAGGTTTGAAAAGCCTTGGCCAGGTCCTCCAGGGTAATGTGCCCCTTCCAGTCTGAGAATTTCTGCCCTCGGCCCTTCACGCTAACATTGAAATGCCCTTTCATTTGTGATGTCCTGTTGTCACAGTAAAGCAAGTGCTTTTTATCACACATTTCCTGTTTTCAGCCCAGAGGGGGATGAACTGTTCACTCTCTGAGAACCTTCCTCGGGCTCTTTTAAATTTTTCCTCTGTTTGCTCTTCTCTGATTAATAATTCCAGTTACTCTAGTCTTTTGGTTCACCTCTTAAGACTGCCCAGTTTTGCCCGTCCTCGGTACAAGCAGAACAAAGTGCTAGCTCAGCTGGGAGAAGGCAGGCCCACAGAAGGAGCTGGAAAGCCACTCCTGACTGTTTCATGCTACACTGCCCTTTGCTAGTTTCATGCCTGCAGTTAGTTCTAAATGTGCCACTGCCATCCGGCCAATTCCATCCACATGTGACTTCCAGACTGCTTTCTGTTCCAAGACCTTCCCCACCTTCTATTTTAAATAGGCTACTTTTTTTTCACTCATGTAAAAGCTTGAACTTCATTAGGCGAGTTGCTTGCCTCATTTCAAGGTTAAATAATCTTAACTTCCAGCCATGTTTTCCGAGGTGCTATTCCCAGTCCCGCGCCCCACCCCACCCCCCGGCCCCAGCTGCTGTTCTGGGTAGATGTGCTTTTCTTTACATTAGCCTCATTACTGAATTAAATCAAATCAGACCCAAGGCCAGAAATGGGCCATGTCTGGGCTGGAGAGTGTAGTTCTTCCACCCTGGGTATGTAAGATGGGGGAAGGCCCCAGAAGCAAATGACAAAGGGAAATATGGGGACTGCCATGTGAGAAAACTCTGGAGAGTAAGGAGAAAAGCAGTGAAGGAGAACTTTCCCTATAAAAAATTAAATATAGCATAAAATTACAATAATTGAAATAGTATGGTACAAGCCCAGGACAAGCAAAGGAATGGAAGAAACTAGACAGTCTAGAAAGAGATCCAAACAAATAAATGAGAATATAGTGCATGGCACAGACAGTCTTTCTAAAGGTAGTATGGGGGACACCTGGGTGGTCAGTTGGTTAAGTGTCCGACTTCAGTTCAGGTCATATTCTCATGGCTTGTGAGTTTGAACCCCGCATCAGGCTCAGTGCTGACAGCTCGGAGCCTGGAGCCTGCCTCTAATTCTGTCTGTTTCTCTCTCTGCCCCTCTCCCTCTCGTGCTCTCTCTAAAAAATAAATAAATATTTAACAAATAATAATAATGTAAAAATTTAAAAAAAAAGGTGGTGGGAAACTGGCTTATCATTTAGGGAAAAAAAATACCCTGTAAATTTAGCCTTATACTATATATCAATTCCAAATGGGTCTAAGTTTAAAGGCAAAAAGCAAAACTATCAAGAAGCATCAGAGGGATGGCTCAGTCAGTAGAGCATTTGACCCTTGATCTTGGGGTTGTGAGTTCAAACCCTACATTGGGCACAGAGATTACTTTAAAAAAAAAAAGAAGATGACGA